TCCAATGCGTTCTGGTGGTCGGTCAAACTTTGTCGCAATTCATCGTTCTCATGTTGTAGGAACCATGTAGGTTGCATTATTTTCTTGCTGAATACCTTGAAGACAGAAATGGGAATTTGGCAAACATAACTTTGTTTGAGATTTACATTTTATTATTTTATTTACTATTATTCTAAAGCAGGGGGTTTGCAACATTTTTTTGGTTGGCCATATAACCACTTCATACAGTTACCCGCCCTACAAAAAATCAATGCAAGAAAGACAGAAGAATATGACTGTTGCTCAGCGTTCCAATAATAAAGACACAAGTCAAAACAATGAAAACATGTATTTTTACCTACATGAGCAGCTTTTTAACATAACTGTTAGATTCAGATTTTATGCTTGATGGGGAAAAATTTGAGTGTTGACAAGGTCACACTGAATGGTTTGGTGGCCGGGCTCCAGTGTTCGGTAAAAATAAAAATCGAACATTTATGCCCGAAAATATCATACAGGCAAGTAAAGATAATAGAATAAATATCACATTAGAAACATGAACAAAGCTAGTACTGGTGCTTGTAAAAATTTGTCGTACCTAAGACTAAAGTAGACCTTGGTCTGTGTCCAGCAACTTTGTTCAGTTCAATCAAATTTTCTTGATATGTGTTTCTTGCTTCCATCTCTTTCTTGAGAGTTGAAGCCTGTTCGGCAAGACTTCAGCAGCGCTGTCATGATCCTGGGATAAAAGATGAAATTAAATCATTTGGAAGTGTATGTTAGAAAGCATAGATAAGTTTCATTGTTGCAGTGCGACCCCATAAGCGCACGTTGTTTGTATTTAAAATATTTCTTATTTGATGAGGACATCATTAATGACGTGGACAATATTTTTATGATCCGAGCCTTGAAAATTTTTTTGAAAGAGTCAAACCAGGTGAAGTTTCTTAATTTCGGACAGGAACTTTGTATTTGGTGTAGTATTATTTATTTTCTTTATTATTAGTATAATACTGATTTCATTAGCTATGACATTATGAACTACTGTATTTAAAGTGTAGAAAAAGCTGGAGTTGACTTGTGCACAACAATAAGAATATATTAGAGCTAATTTACATATCTACATTACAGGCGCACACTTAGACAATGGAGAAAGCAGTAACAAACCAGCCTTCACATGAACAGCCATATGATAGCAAGGAGTCCATATTTGTATACCCAAAGGAACAGGGTGGTTCATGTGACGGCTGGTCGGTTACGGTTTTTCCCACCATCAAGTTCATGCATCCTAAATAAACTGGTTAACTAATCCCATACCCAACATGTACTGGTAACCAGACGAGAGACTGTGGTTCGCCATGTGATTAAGCCCTCTTATTAACTTTCCCTGCCCCCGGGAATAGTTTGGTTTATTTTGAAAACTCCATAACACACAAAAATTAAAAATGGAGAATTCTGGGAGTAAGCGAAACCTATAAAGAAGTTTAAAACATGAGAAATATCATGTTCCTGTCCACCAACACACACAAAAACCCAATTAAACGAGGCCTGGGCAATAATTTGAAGGACCAAAATACTCAACAGTATTGAACTTTCAGACTGTTGTACTTTTATCAATAAATAGCAAAATCTTAATAAACAGTAAAGAAAGTCAAAAGTCTCCATGATAAGGGGTCCAGTGTAGTTTCGTACCTAAAGTACTTCTAGTGGGTGTAACATAACAATTTTTGCATATGTCAATCCTAACCTGAATATTACGTCACAGTGACCTAATAAAGCCCTACAAACTATACAAACTGTCATCCAAGACGTGCAGACGATCGCAACGATTCCGATATGAAAAAGACCACTGACGATAGTGAGTTCTTTATGAGTGAGTTGGGGCAGATGCCATTTTGGACAATCGTAGCAAGGTCTATACATGATTGTGGCGTCGTAATGACATAATTTTTGGATGGCGTAGTCAGGTGGGGGTTAGGATTGACAAGGATTGACATGTGCAAAAATTGTTATACTACGTCCACTAGAAGTACGTAACTACCCGAGACCCCATGGTAGTCCAGTCTGGATTTCTTGGCTTTTTTACACGAGAAATCGGGCGTGCAATCACATATCCTGGCGTGCAATCAGTGGCCGTGGCACGCCAAAGGTCTGAGCCCGCGTGCAAACTTACCGAAAAGTGAATGAAAACCTAGATTCTTAGCGTGCAACTAACTGGTCTTGTATGAAACGAAAACGAACAAAAAAGCGTAAAATGATTTACGCAGAACGCCTCAACTGGGTCTTTTACGCACAGTCCAGTCTCGCAAAACGTTGACGAAGTATTTTTGCATAGGTCAAAGATTAATTAATCAGCCCATTGGGTAATTTAATCTGGCCACCTGATGCTGCCACAACCGAACTAAAACCGAATTTTGTGTTTTTAGCTAAAATTAGCTCAAGGAATTTGTTGAGATTGCAATCAAATTCAGTTTAGTCAGGAGGCATACGGGTTTCCATTTTTGCTTTTGCTTTTTGGCCCCTGGTCCCAAAACCTTGCCCTCCCCTGGTTAGGAAGACATTTGCCTAATCCAATAATTTGTCTTCTAGCTTTGTTTTATTCAACTAGGATTGCTCATATTAAGAATAAGATATTATTTTTATCATGAAGAAGAGGAAAGCTGATAAGATGGCTTAGTCGTGGCGTACCATGGCCCTACGCCCATTTACCAGTCCATGTTAGATATAGTGTTAGTTAGCCAATTATTTTTATTCTCTTCAGATTCATGACATTCTAAAAAAATTATTAATAAAGCAAGTAACTTTCCTCACCCTGGAATTACGAAAAATGTTGATACTTTTGGTGCTCTGTAAACTTCATCATCTGCTGTCTGTACTTGGTCATGAGTTCCAATGTGTTCTGATGGTTGGTCACACTCGCAAATCATCGTTTCCATGTTGGGGAGATCGGATCGCAATATTTTCTTCCTATTTTGAAATTAAAAATGCCAATTTATTTACCACATGGGATTTTATGCAATTTATTTACAGTGCAATTTGGTACTCCTGTAGTATGCGAACCAAGATGGCGGACACCAGAAACTTTTGATTTGATCAAGGTTTTTATTTCTGATCTCTAAGCAAGACAATAGACAAGCACTCATGAAACATTCGCTTGATAATAGGCTGATTAGGGCTGATCTAGAAGTTCAAACCAGTCCATTACCGCAGTGTGTAATGTCTTGCTATTGCCTCATCTAACTAATCTTGACTTAGGATTAGCTCACTGGTGGGCCAATAATATGATAAAACCACAAAAAAAGTATATGAATGCAAGGTTTTCATATTCAAAATTTCAATATCCTGAATCGGACCCAACTATGATAGATTAGAATAGGAAAAGAAAGGTTGGACAATAACAGTACAGAACCTAAAACGGGAGAAAAGAAAGAAATTCATATTAATTGCAAGGTTATTGATCCGATTGATTTAGTTGTTTCAGCCAGAACATTTTGGACAAATTTCTTTGAACCATTTAAATTTTATTTTCATTGCATTAATTATTTAGTTTCCAGTGTTTGTCTTGGAATGTCACAAATACAAAGAGTGAAAACAAGAGTTAGAAATCTTGATATAAAACATCTTTCATACCCAAGACTAGAGTCTGTGTCCAGCAGCTTTGTTCATTTCAATCGAATTTTTTGATATGTGCTCCAGACTGAGTTGAAAGCAGTTTGGGAAACCTCCATAGTCCTGGAATGGAGAGAATAATGATAAGAAATATACCTTGAACTTCTTGTTTTCGAACTCCCGACACAGTCACTTTAATTGATACAAATCAGGGGGCATTGAAATAAAATATTGATTTTATTACAGTATCAACATTAAATTACTAAAAGTCTTCAAGTACCGTACAAGTTTTACATTTCATGCACATTTGATCCATACTACCCAAAAACCAGGCCATGGAATTCCGATTGGCATACAATTCAATCAAAATTGTTATTTAGGTTTGGCGAAAAACAAACAGTATTTCCATAATATTCTGTACTACAACCCATGTCTGCAAGTTGTAAACCTTCTTGCAGTAACAAATATTTTAATTAAAACCATTAAAATATTATAGACTACCTTCAATCTTGTGACCAAATATCAAGCGTCAGCATGGAATTAATTACTTGATGATAACTTTTCTTTTCCTGGTCCCGGTACCGGTAGTCGGTACATAAAAGGAAGCTGACGGCTCTTGTGTGTTACCTGTATATTCCTTTTTGCATTCACCTGCTTTGTCAGATATTAAATATTTTTCTAACACATTCGCTTGCCAAGTTGATAATTTTGACAGTAGGCCTACCGGTACCGGTATCCAGGTATCTGTTAAAATACGGTACCGAAATATTTCCCTAAAGCTAAATCGGCGAACTCGTTCAAAAACATCTCTGGGTATCTCTATCGCCCCTGATGGTGATACCGCCGCCATAAGAATCGGCAGTGATCACCCATAGATATTACATAACAACAAGATGGCAAGCACCGTACTTTTACGCAACCCCTGCAACTAACTTGTCCCACTCAACGACTAACATACCATGATGCGCAACTAAAGCCTTGACCAATCAGGAGTGTCTGACGCGTTCCGCTCCATTACGGCAACTTGATTTGTTAACGCCCACTCGAGCTTTCAGCGTTTTGCTGCAGTTTCATCATATCTGACTCACAGGGCAGAGGTGTATAGTTAATATATTAGGTATTCGGTGAATATGGCTAATAAAGGTAAGTTTATTATTTTCATACGTTAGATATATACTATAAGTTTGTTTTCTCTTGCGGATTACTATTGAGGAAGCTACGATACAGGTCTGCAGGTACTGGTTTTATGACAGACAGAGTTTAAATCCCTCAATCAGATCCTGAATTTTCCGTTTTCCGAATAATACGTTTCCTTGGTAGTACTAGACTTATTTCCTGCATTCAGGCTAACAGTACTGGACTATGAGTTCAAAATTTATGGTTGGTGTGTAGTAGGCAGTGACTGGCAGACCCTGAGACCTGCAGACGGGAGAATTTACAGGTCTTTCATTTCTTCTACAGTACCTACACCTATATACAGACATATGTATATCCACTTACTGCTTGCTTTTACATCTCATTTCTACATTCTGACATTATCAAGCACTGTCGACCCCAGTGTTAGGCAATAACTTGAAATTTCCCATATGCTGATGCCTGTAGATTACTAATACTGTAATAGCTTAACACTTTTTTGAATTCTGGTAAAATGTAAAAGTTGTCGTCAAATCCAGAGTTTGCATTTCAATATTCGATTGTTCAGTTGTTTTAGATTGTGACTATGACATGTTAGAGGATCATAAACTGACAGTATGCATAGATCTTGACGAGGCAATGGAAGGAAAGTTTACCTTAAATGAGCAAAAGTAAGACAGCTATTGAAAGAGAGCTATTTCAGTATTTATTAGAATGCTTTAATATACGTCTGGCTGAGAGTGTTAGGAGAGGTTTAATACAGGACCACCAACATACTATGCATTCAATTATCTTATCAATGTATTTTCTGGATTTTATTCTATAGATAGCAAATACTTAAATGTGATAGTTTCATGATGGTATTTTTGCTAAATAGTCTGTGATTTATAAATAGTATGTTTTATTTCAAGGTGCTCAACATATCATAAGGTATTTTCCAGTGTGGCGTCTTTGGCAAGTCATCAACATGTTCACAAACAAGGTAAGATTTAAATAATTTATAGACTTCTACATAAATTCCATGATTAATAATACAACTTCTTTCTACAACTCAAGATAAACATGAAAAGCAGTTTTTTTCTTAATACCATGGGATAAATCTACGAAATAATTTTGCATTTTTTTTTTCAAATTTTAGGCAGAGATCATATTAGTGTGGAGGAAATTGTAGATGAGTGGAAGATCATTGCAGCCACTGTCCCTATTTCACCAAATTTGATCAAATACTTACAATTGTTGCTGAAGAAAAGTCCAAGTGATCGAATGTTATCCTTCAGCTGTGATGCAGTTAGCATAATCCCTTCACTGGAACCGAGTATTACAAGATTCACCATTCTCCAGTCTGTCAGGAAATTAATTGATAGATTCACGGCCAAAGAAATGGATAAAACAAAAGGTGTGGTGATTCTTATTTGTCTGGATTAGAGTGTGTTTAGATACCATAATTTTAAGGACATATGACTTAATGGCAAAAATTGCTTAATTGGGTTTTCATTCATACATAGGGCTATAAAACGCAACTGTTTTTGAAGCAATATTAGGTTTGTGTGTAGACAATAAAGCACTACCTGATTCATACATGGTGCGCAGCAGCTTAATAACAGCTGTTGGAACGATTTTGATTTCAAGTATTGACACCATTTGATTGATATTCATAGTAATCAATATTGCGATATCCTAGTATTACACCCCTGTTCCCTATGTTTTTCAGATATACCAGCTTCAAGTTCCATCATATTGAATGATGATGAGATCCATATTATCCAATACATTGCTGGATTCATTTTACAAAAAATGCAAAAACGATGCCGAGACCCGGAAGACTTCGAAAGAATTCAGTCATTGATCAATCTCGAACTGGACTGTTTGACAACTAACTCAATGATTGCAGTAATGCAGGAAACAGAGTATGGACAATTAACCGTACCATCACCCAGTGTCCTTGAACTATGTAAGCTGCTTGAAGTTGAATTTAGACTGAACTATGCTCATGAAGATGTTATAGCTTCAGTGTTTAAAAATTTTAATATGGAATCATTCGGTATTGCCCAAAACGAAACTGGCATGCTGGACATCTTGGAAAAGCTATGTCGCTTCTACCTGAAGATAAGGTGCCATCAAAAAGCCAGAGTCATCAATAAATCCCTCTCTTTGAAAAAGAACCAGAATTTATCCCTAAGAAAACTGCTTAAAAAATAGATCTCTTTTCACTTTATTAGTGTGTATAGATGTGATTCCAGTATGATTGATTAGTAAGTAATTGCTCCCTACATTAATTAAACTACCTAAGTGACCTATTTTTTATATATCCTGTATTCATTGCATGGAATATAGTGTATTTTCATGACACTGCACTGTAAGGTGCATAATAAAAATACAGCATACTTTGAACTGTTTTAATTGTCTGATTGCCATGTATGTACGTATGACTTTGCTAGCCATAATAGTCCGGTCAAATATTTATATATAATCTTTTAATGATTTTTGTCCATACATTAGAGACAAATACCCCAACTGAACAAGAGAAGCGGTAATTCAATTAGTTTATTACCCCAGACCACTGCGGTCCATATAAAAATAACATAAGCAAATACAAATATAACACAGTAAATACCATCACAGTAGATATTATATGTTCTCGGATACCATTTTGTGACGTTCAGGTAGGGTTGCCAACCGTCCTTTAAGCTTTTTGTCCTTTTTAGCATTTGAAAAAGATGCTAATTGTTATTTATTCTTTTCAACGTCGTTTTTATCGTTATTAAATAATCACCTCCGTTTATGTATTCGCAAGCTTATAACTATTCTTTTTAATTTTGCTTTGGTCCAGCTCAAATAGCCAAAGAAATAACAATTTTATTAGGATTTCAAATATTCCAGTTCAATCACTGAAAATTCTACGTATAACTAATTGGTCTCTATGACGTCCACAATCCAACAATTCTGTTTTTGTAGATGCCTGTGTAATCATGGTATGTTATCGTTTTATCTGGTAAAAAAAAGGCGAGATATAAATACGCTCGTCAGGAAGCTGATATTTGCGAAGTCTAAGTTATTTAAGGGATTGTTGCTCGAGCTAGTTCTTCTACCTGTGGACCTAAACAGTTTGGGGCAGTGAGCTTTTAATATACTTCAACTTGGAAGACAAGTGTCACGAATTTTCGAAAAAAAATAAAACGTGATCCACAATTGCTCAAGTCAGCAAAGAGTCGGCAGAAATATAAACTTGTGCAACTGCAAAATTACAGCTTGTTTGGGTTAATGTTAAATAAACTTTTAAAAACACAGATTTTTTTAATATGTCTTTTTAGCTTCTGTATAATTTTTATTTCTATACTGCAAGTTACAAAATAAATGATGGCGGTAATCTATGTCCTTTGTTTAAACTTTTCGTAGTTGGCAACCCTACTCTCAGGTCTAGAAACACAGTGAATTACGCGATAAGCATTGTTATATGAAATTTCAACTTTACGTCCTAAATGAAAAATTTTACAGTAGGGGTAGTTTTCAAAATAGTATTGGCTGTAAATTGATTTGTACTGACATTTTAGGTCGAGGTCATTGGACAGGAAAATGCCAAGATATTTACTGGACGAAACATATGTCAATACTCCAATCACTTTGTATTCAATTTCCTCACCCCCGGTTTTGAATATAAAAAAAAAGTACTTCAGTTGTGCACATCTGATGGCTTGTAGAGAACACTTGAACCCTTTAAAGATTTTTTAGCGGATATAATTTGTTGGAATTGGGAATATTGGTTCATGTCAGGATTTTCATTGCTTCTTCCGATACTACGCACATGGCCAAAAAAGGCTTCTAATGGATCTTGATTGACACGCTTGGTCATGATATATGACCCAGCAGGCAACAAAGGCAGAGCATCACGAATAAGACTTACAATAGCCATGGATGTCACTTCCAGACCCTCGTATGTCTGATAGCTCAGAAATTGCATGTTTTTTTCTGTTTGAGTTATTCCAGTGACAGATGATTTCCAGTTGCGTATTTCTGGGAGAAAGGTATTTTCGAGCCAAATCAGTCGCTCATCATCAACGCTATCAAATGGTCGGAGCACTTTTTTATATCCAAAATTTGGCCGAGTATTCATGATATCAAACCACTTATCCATAGACAATGCTAACCAAGAGCTCTGTTGCATCTCCGGCCCACCTCTTTGCTGCATCAATCTTGCAACAGTCTTAGATAGCACTTGGGCTGCATATTTGACACGCATTTTTGTGTAGCTTTGCAAGCACAAGTGGGATTCTGTCAATTTGCAGGAGCGTAACTCTTCGGACGAAAAGAAGGATGGTACTGCACGAAAATGGTCCCACAGAATGAACTTGCCATTTTTTTTTAATAGGCGAGTTCCACCAGCGTGACTCGCAAACACATTATTGCGTACTGTTTTGAGTAAATGAGGTGGGTCGAATAGAAGGTAAATGAAATGATCTGGACTGAACACATTGATACATTTATATGGAAAAGTCAACTTCAAATTATTTAATTCATGGAACATTTTCCGGTTTGCACTGAGTCCATCAGTAACGAGAGCAATGACCCTAAAGCCACATTCTTGGAGTTCTCCAACACTTTCCCAGAAAATGCTGGTGAGATGGTCTGAGCGGATGGAATTTGTTGCATAGAACGTCAAGGGCTTTGAAAACTTTCCAATCAAACTACGTGCATAAACTTGCAGTGCATTGTGTGCAGGAACTTTTTCCTCTGTTTTTCTCGACTCTCCCAAGTCAACAAAGCCAACCATCATATCCTTTTTTGGATTGTAGACAATATTTTCTTTAACTGAGAAAATGAAAAGGATATGTTTATTTTCAATTACACACTACTTATCAGATTTCCCTCAATATCACACATTAAAGATTGTTTAATAATAATAATTGTACAGATTATAAATTTGGGCGCTCCTGAACTAATTCGTTCGCCAATTTACTTCAATTTGTGTAAAGGACTGAAACCTAAGGGCAGAGGTATATTCGCTGACAGTCCCCAAGCTCGTAATGGAACTAAAACAAGGAAAATCGAAACAAAATTATAGTACCTAAATTAGTAATATCGTACAGAAAAATAATCTTTTGTTAATGCAATTCAAACTTTCTCATTATCTAGCACGAAAACTGACAAATCCTATTAAAAGTTGGTTAAACAGATACCACAAGTACTTATACCTTTCATTTCATCCATTGACAACACTATGAGGCGCTCATGGTCAGGTAATTCAGATGCTTTCTGCTTCAACTCTTTCCTAACACTTTCTGAAAATCCTGGGTTTGTGCTGTACACATTTCTGAACAATTATGTAACCAAATAATATCTCAACCATATTGAAAGTAAACTCAGCTCTTTCACTGCCATATTATGATCTATCTGTGATAAACACTTTGTACTGATTCTGATATTTACCTAACACACTTTATAAGCTGAATTCTCCAAGCATCTCAAGCTCAACCTTTAGCTATACCTTTCCTTACACATAATTGCAGTTTAAAATTGGCATTTTACTCACCTGTAATCAATGAGCGTTCGCCTACTGGGGAGAACAAGTAGACTTGAATTCCGCAGTTCATCGTAAGTGCTAGAACTTTTTAACGCCAAATTCAAACAAAACCTACAAATAAAAAAAGTGGAATGTTCAATATTACCGATAGTAAATGTGATGATCGAACTAAATCCTCAGGCATGTGCGAAAAAAAAATTTATCTCACCTAATTAAGTCCGGATGATACCGTTCTCCATGTTTCCTAGTAGCATTAAGCTTAGCTTGCTCAGACCAAAACAAACGATAAAACGGCGAAACATTTTCTTCACGAATTCCTGCCAAAAAAAGGCATTTTGAATTTATTAACAATCTTTGCTCCTCAGAAATTTCAGTCAAATTTGAAAACTTTTTTTTCTGAAATGATTAAATGTTTTTTGTGCTGTGTTGCGCTATGAAACAAATCAATTTTAATTTTGTATAATACCACCTTTTTTTATCAATGAATTCATATCTTCTGCAATGTCAGTATCCACGAGAACATGACATTCCTGTTTCGCCAATAATTGTTTAATTCTGTCTTCCAATTTATTCAGCCTGCAACATAAAAAACAGTTTTATAGACAACAATTAGAATGCAAATGACACACCCATACATACATAACATACTCATCGTCCTTAGCCTTAACGGTTGCAATTTTTCGAGATTCCAATGAATTCTGCTGGAGTCTTTTGAGAGGCAAACAACCCTTAACATCAAAATACTTTTTTTGGCTTTCTGATGACTTCACAATTCTTTTCTCCTCTTCAAAACACTGTTTGCATCTTTTCCCAGATGAAATGAATACTTCACAATTTAGGGATCTAAAATAATGATAAGAGACATTTCTTAATATTCCTCTAAGGAAGTGCCCACATAGCAGTGTTGTCAAGTCATTTGCAAGATGACACTGTTAGTGAAGGCATAAATAGACAGTGCTACACTCAGGCAATTGAGCTATAGCTACTGATTCAAGTACTTTATGAGTGGAAAAATTGTGAAATTTTCAAGGAAATAACATGATGATATCAACACCAGTGGTGAACATTGTGAATACTTAAAAACAGATGGTTGAAAAAATATGTAATACCTTGAAGCAAGCAATCTAAGCTGTGGGGGCCCTTGTTCAATTTTTTTGGAACTAGATCTTGAAAAGGACACTTCACAATGTTAACATGTTGCGGAACTGGAATTGGTGCTGCCAGTTATTCCCTCACATATGATTGATGTATGAACAATATGCAGAATATTTGACAAAGTTGTTTCTTTTACATTAATATTATTTAGGACTTCCGATGTTACACTAGTCCAACCATGATAAATGGCACTGATCTGCAACTCTGAATCAATGTTAATAGCTAAACTTGATTGTTCTGCAGCTGATTCGGGCTTGAGGAAAAGTTGAATATTGTCATCTAAATCTTGGTATTTCCAGTTGGAGGGTAAATAAGTTGATGCACTTTTTTTCAACTCCTGCAAATTTTTATGACGAATTGTTTCAACTACTTTCCTCTTTTTTGGAGAAGATCTATTCAAAATTGGTAACTTCGAACAACTTTTCTGGGGCATGTTCATATTGGGTATTGCACCAATTTTAAGACGCGACTGTGTTCCAACTGAAAAATACAAGAATATTACAAACATAATGTTAATTGTCGAATAAGCTTTTTATTATAAAATTAAAATATTGAACTTACCTTTTTGAATGTCATTTTCTTCAAAGTGCCTTTCACAAATTTTGACTCTGTCACGTAAATACAGGTGTTTGATATCAGAATCACCGCGAAGACCCATGACAATTTTTTCAAGCTTGTCTGCCCATACAAATTTTTCACCTGAACAAAATCGCTTAGATGGCACCAAAAATAGGGTGCAAGATTCTCTGACACTGTCGCATTGTGGAACACAACATCGATTAGTCATGCTGATGAATGATGTGAATAAATAGCCTAATAAATACGAATTAACTGCACTCACTTACTAAAGAAAAGTACAACAAATAGGCCCAGGTGGACTTTAGAAAAAAAGGAAGCTGGTAGTCCTACTTGGCAGTGATATTTGGTAAATCATATCAAATATAGCGCCCTAGTGTTAACGTTAAAACAGTATAAATATATCTATCATAGGCTGGGGTGTGTGTAGTACGGTACAATACGGTACCTAGGCTAGGTCAGTAGGTTACGATAATCGGGCAGAATATTGAGGTGTTTCGTAAAAACATTAAGTTACCTGCGCTGTCTTGAAGGAAAAAATACTAGCCTAGTTCAAGCCAAAAGTAAAAACAAATCTAATCTCGGATTAAAGAGACAGAGTTCACTTAAGACAGTAAGATGGACAACCAACATGTGATATTTTATCCAACGTTAATTTACTGAACTAACTTAATCACATAGGCTACGCACCATAGGCTAGACTGCTGAGTTCAGAATATACAGCGAGATATTTTGCGTACGACTTCTGATCTGTAAGAATACACAACCCAATCTCTGAATCTCCTATAAACTCAGCTAAAGCGAACCAAAAATATCCCACCTAATGATAACGAAGCAGAAAAAAGTAAAGAAAACACCGCCACTGTCACCAATTCCCGGCCGCAAATCAAGTGATCGCAATGGAGCGTGAAGCTGCAGAAACTCGTAAAGCGAATTACTTTGTTTGTTTTATTAATGTGGGCGTGGCTTTCTGTGCTAGTTTCATCCCCCTGCTTTTACTCGACACGATGGATATTTGTTCCCATTTAAACATTTCTCTCTCGATTCCATTCACATTTCTTTTTAAACCTTTCTCTTTTGACTTGCTCTCTCGATTCGATTTACGTTTTTTAAATTTCCCCTGAGCTAACTTAATTCTAGATTAATCATTTCTTCCCCGACTCTGTTGATTCCATTCATACTTTTTATTTAAACTTTTCTCATTTGGCTTACTCTCTCGATTCGATTTACGTTTTCCAAATTTTTGCCCTGATCATATATAACTCAACCTTAATCATTTGACGTTTTTTTGACGTCATTCAGCTTTAATGGTGTCGCTGACACGATGACTTGATAGTCTTTCGCGGCTCCTCGTTAATTGCAGTCGAAACATTATGTGTCTGTTGTTTTCTTTTGCCTTGATTTACTATGCTTGTGTTGTTCATAATGTTTCTTGCACGACGAAAATAAATTATCTGAATCTGAATCTGAATTCTGAGTGAAAAGTAGAAAATAATTTTGGTATTTCAGAATCAGAGATAGAAGAGAATGGTAAACATTCTTTTTCACAAAGGAAACAGCACCAAGGCATTTCATCAGCTTCAGATTGCAGGTTTTCATATTGCTGTCCAGAGATATTAGTGCATTTTAAATGTATCCAATAAGAACAAATATTGCAAAAAATAGCTTTCTGATTTGTTCGGACTGATTTGTGGCAATTTCTACATGGATATTTCATCATATTTTTTATGGTTGTGGCAAAAAATAAAATAGATATAAAAAAGAAAAAAGTATAAAAATGTAAAGAAGTAAAGTTTAGTGTTAAAATACTAAATTTCCAAACAAAGATGTAGAACTTATAGTTAGATAAGTACTGGCCTATTCGACAGAGAAAATTAAATTTGAAGATAAGTATTTATTCCCCTTCACTCCTGTAGGCCACCACTCTACCAAAAGGACCAGGGTGCATTCAGTGAGCCTGTTTGCTAAGCCTCATTGGACGAGCAGCAGCCCTGGAGTACAGGGGACGAGATAGAGTAGTGATATCATTTAAACAAGATATAACTCGCCTTCTGTCCAAGTACGCGTAGATAGTCCCATTCATTGTTGACACTTTGTGTTTCCCGAAGGCTTCTTTGGCAGCGGTGAGCAGCTTGAGCCTACTACGGGTCAAGGACTCCGTGATGGACAAACCGCTGCCTTTCAGGTCTTTTTTCCTACCATATATTAAATTTTTTGTCGTTCTTCTGACAAATTTAATATTGATAGGGTTCTTCGGGGATTTTGATCTCAACTTATGGGTAATGTCAATATCGAATTTGACAATAGGACTGTCAAGCTTCAAGTTGCTGTTAAGGGATTTTATAACGAAGTACTCAAACTGATCGTATTTCGTTTCTGGAACGGATTTGCAGCCATGAAGAATTATACAGTTTCTTCGGCCGTACTGTTCTAAGTCATCCTGCTGTTTTTCCAAAGTCTCCAGTCTCTTCAAAATCTCCTCGATCTTAGGAGAGATCTGGGCTACATCCTGCTGGAACTTTTTGATATCTTCAGATCTGTTGCCATGATCTTCTGTGGCTGACAGTTCCTCCGATCGTTTCAACAGCTTTTTTTGAGCGTCCCGGACTAATGCGACAGCGGCCAGAAGCTGGTTTTGGGTTTCGTTATTCATCCTGCTGTCTTGATAGTGGTTGAAACGGTATCGTGTAAAAGAATGATTGAAAGGTGGTAGTAATTCAGGCAAAATTCAAGTCAGTATAATATTGAAGTTATAATCCGTTGGATGATAGTACAGTAGTATCGAAGGTATTAGGCTATAGTACTTTAATTCTAACCAAAGGTTACACTAACATCTGCAAACTTGGACAGCAAATAATCATTAAAATTTTAATGAACGATTATCAAATATCTTGACCATGTTTATCGTGATAAAAATATCAAAAATAATGTAAAAAATATTCTGTCCTCAAAACTACACACGTATACGATGAAACATATCTAGAAAATTCCAAAAAATGCAAATTTCTGTTCTGATGATCACATTTCCCATAAGAGCTAATGTTAAAAAAAAAAAATTTTACATCACTTTTATTTTTGCGCGTAGGATGGGTTTTAAATGACTAAGGTCTATTACATGACAACATTTGTATTGAATTGCTATGAATATTCCAGTAATTTTACACATGCATATTTCAGATAATTTATCAATGATTCATTGCAGTTCTTTGACTCTATCCTAGGACAGACAAAAACTTTCTGTTAACGTCCGCGTCATATTGTATATATATTACATTTTTGCGAATTAGGTGCGTTCCGGTTGTTACGATTTTTCCAGCTTATCACTGGTTAAGCTATTTTACCGATTTTCCTCTACCCCGGGATAAATGAGCAAACTCTATCCTAAATCGATATACAAAAGTAGATCAAGATACATAAGTATTATTCTACTGGTTTCAAACTTTTTGCAATTCTGAAAAATACGGACTCCGTGCACCTCTAATTCGCTCCGAGATCCGTGTTGCCAAGGATAACAAGACAAGGCCAGGGCCCAGGGCTGCCACACTAGATGTTTTATAGCTAGATCTAAATGTTTTTTTCGAGATTCAGGTGTAAAATTTGGAGTCTAGATGTTAGCTGTAAAATCTAGATATATATTTTTTGAACATTCCTAATATCAACCAATGAGAAATGAATATAGCGATGTGTATAGTACGGTACCGGTACTGTAATTGTAATATCTGAATGAACATTATTTCATTACTCAGAGAAGTAAGATAAATATATTGATGCAAGATTGATAAAACTCATTTATGTTGTTTTCATCCATTTACCGCAGGGGTCGGGAACCCTTTTTGGTCAAGGCCTATTTTCAATTGCATTTCTGTTCGAGCCATATAGCATTTCTTCACTTAATCAGGCCTGAAATACTGTCATATGCATCACAAGTTGAAATCTAGGATACTCACCACCCTTCTTTCCTTTAGGGATTTCCGTGGTATTTCGAAAACCAGCTTTGCTACTCCGACCTTAATATGACAAATACTGTAACCATTGCAGACAAACTGTCGTAAATCTCTTCTTTATTAGTTCGCTACTATCACTTTGTGATGTCACAAAATATGTTACAAAATCCCCTAGTTTTTTCACAATGGCTGTCTGGTAATTCTCTTACATAACGTAGACATGCGCTGGACGCACGTCCTCAGAACGTATTGGCAAATTTTCTGCCATTGTTGGCTGTAAAAGAGTTCGAAAATCTCGAAACAATAGTAAGCTTAACCTTAGAATATTCCATTTTTCGGAAGCCATATGCCGTCACCAAAAGAGCCATACATGGCTCGCGAGCCATGCGTTCCTGACCTCTGATCTACCGGTACCCCAGTCTGGATTTCATGGCCTTTTCGAACGAGAAATCGGGCGTGCAATCAGAAATTCCCGCGTGCAAATAAGAATTTCTGCCGTGCAATTATAGCTCACGGCGTGCAAAACAACTGCGCCCGCTAAACTGATTTCGACCTAAGATACCTCTCAATACATCCGCGTAAAATTACCAGTATTGGATAAAAAATAAGTTGAATCATAGCAAAAATGGACGTTTGACCTTTGACCCCCAAACATCATTTCTATATTTTGTCACTAATTTTGAGAGTGTTTGTGCGACTTTAGATACCGGTACTGTTCAGTACATCCGTGTAAAATTATTGTATTAAAAATACGCTGAATCAGAGCCATAACTGGCCAGCGTTGGTGAGGAGGCGATTTTTCTCACGGGATTCCTATCATTCAACACGATATGGTGATTTTTGCTTCGCATTTTTCGATCAGGCCAAATCTTGCAAGCAAATATTAGTCGACAATTGTAAAGTTATAATTTTTTGGCATCTTTATATTACTAGATTATTGATTTAAAAACTATTTATTACATTGGTGAGCAATTGCAAATTTTCGGTGTGCAAAATTGAATTCGCTCGCGTGCATTTTTGTGGAGCGCTAGCGCCCTCGGGCGTGCATCTGCCATGGAATCCAGTCTGGCCGGTACCATATGTAAATGAATTATTCAAATAACGAATTAAACATGTGTCGTTCTAATTAAATAGAAAGGAGAGGTTAGTCTGATAAGTCAGTGCTTAGTATTGTATTATTAAGTGGTGAGAATAATTTGTGTAGTCCAAGTTGCTTACTCCAGGATTTTAAAATTATAAAGTTATTTAAGTGCTACCGGTATTGAATTGTCTTTCTTTACTTTTTAGTACTATGAACTATGCAAAAAATAAACTGAGAAACAGCCAATGCAATACCTAAGTTGGCCTGGTTCGAAAACAATGCTGCACTTCTTATAAGTTGCTGATTCGGTTGGCGAGAAAATAGATACAGTAAAAACTTATAAAAATTCCTCCAAAGCAACAACATCAACAGATGCTAGCTTCTTCGACATATAATATTATGTAATACAATAAACTTTGTCTGCTCTAAATTTAATGACTTCAAATCTAGATGTTTTGTTTATCAGTCTAGATGTTTTTCGAGGTCAATCTAGATGTTTTTAGTCAGGCAAAAGTGGACCTGGACAAGGCTCATAAGTCAGATGTATAGAAAGCGAAGTAAACTAGCGTCAGTCAGATATCTTTTTCAAATTTTTTTTTCAAGTTAAAGAATGATAAAACCAATATATTTTATTTTCAGTTTTTTCTTAGGACAGGATTTACGTCCTTTTTGAAGAAAGGTAATGTATGGAATGATGTGTACTTTCTGTACGTCGGTAGTAAAATAAAGGTACCGGTACTTATGATACTGTGATAGTAAATGTTCATTCTATAGGAAAAGATATTTTTTTTCATAATAGCCTAGTTCAGTACGGCACACTATACAAATCGGGTGACATTGTCCCGTTTCAGAGAAACCCATTTTACAGATGATCAGACACCCCTCCTTCAAGAGACGTCTGGACATTGTTGTCCCTCAATATCGGTAATAATACCGTAAAAGCGCCTAACTTCGGACAAAATTACTATATTTTCGTCAATAACTCGGCCATTTATTGTCCAAACGGTGCCAAAATTGCTCGGTAAAACATTCGTGCGGTAATTTACATTCCCTGCAAATTTCGGTTCAATTGGACTATTTTTACTATTGAAATAATCGATATTTCTTGCCATCTGACCGTTATCCTTCACTGCCCTAACTTCGGACAGTCATTTTCTTCACTGCGTAACCGCGACGCACAGAGAGAAAGAGGCTTCCGATGCGGATGACGTAATCACGTCGTTGCGTGAAAATAAGACGCTCGATCGTCGTCGTAACGTAACATTGACGTCACGACGAAAATGCATTATTTGAAACTTCCGTCGTCCTATGTTTACATCTTTCGTTCGTTATTTTCGATACTTCAGATGAGTATAATAACACGTTAGTCATTTTAATCAGAAAATGCATACGTAAATATATCTGATGCAAACCGTTTCAATCCACAATGAAGTATTTTAACGGGCTTCTATCGAAGTCTTTGAAGTATTAATATTCTCGACGGATAGCTTTTTTTATTCTGCGCGGTTATCTTTATAAATGATAATTTATATCAAACACACGGTAAATCCGATTGTAAAGTTTAATTTAAAATTCAACTTAATCTTGTTAACATGTAGGTCCCGTTTATTTGTTGGAGATTAAATTTATTTTTAATTTCGAGTGAATAAAATTCACCCAGGCCGTATTCAATAACTGTCATTTCGACTACTAATCACAAAATATTGGTTAAGTCAGTGCACTGTGCCATATGGACGTTGGAATTGTCATAGTTTTATATATTCGATTTTTAACGTCATCGATTAAGTGTGACATGTATTTTCATTAATGTAATTTTGGCATATATTCACACATGGACCGAACAAAATACAAAAATATTACATTGGAACGCCGTCTTTATCTTAACGGAAATTGTCATATTGGCTCCGTTGTGTCTGGCGTCAAAATTCATTTCCGCGACGCAGTGTGACGTCGTGTCGGAACCGAGCGAAAAATAATCTACGTGAGGTTGACGTAATTTTTGACGCTGCGTGAAATCTTAATATTCTTACGGAATTTATAATTCAGAATTTTAGGTTTTATTTAAATCTCGTACGACATCTTGCGATCACTCAAATAAATTATATACATTGTTGTCGCCCTCTACCGAATGATGGTATTTTGACGATGATAGCTTCAGTAGGAGCGACGCTCTGCGCCGCTGAATGCCGGGCAGTCAATTTTCGGCAAAATTTCCGTTTTTTTACCAAAAAAATAGTTATGCAACATTAAAAAAAGATGAGAATAGATGTAGATATAACAGCGCAACCTATAATAATTAAAATTAGCAATATACGGCGCGTTTTAGCCAAGATATGGCCGTTTAAAAATTTTGTCCGAAGTTAGGAACTGTCCGAAGTTAGGCGCTTTTACGGTACAATATAATGAAGTTGCGCAAAATACTACGAAAAAGCGCAATCTAGTAACGTCATCATTGAATTTCTTGGGAAAAAATAATCCGATTTACCGAAGAAAAAAAAAGTTTTATCATAGCATTCGAGAGTTTTTTGCAAAAATTGGCAATTTGGGTCATGTGACTGCCTTGATTAATTTAGATTATTATTGAGACAAGCATGGCGCGATATGAAGCATCTGTCGTAGTCCCAGATGCCCCTCGTTTGTGAGACACACTGGAGTGTTTGTTTTATTGAGCCAAATGGAGGGAAATTCCTAGAATTTGGATAGTGTGCTGTAGTTAATGGGATCTGGATCGGCGGTGTGGATCATCGTGCTAAGCGCTGGCAATACGGTACCCCTTTCACTGCATTCCATGCAGGGATATGTACCGGTACATGCAAGAGGATTGCTGAACTTCCTGACTCTTGGCCGCCGTTGGGTGGTCCACGTAACCGATGGTTGGTTACGACTTCCTCCACCACAGTAGTCCATGCTTTAAGCCAGCGTTTCCCGAACTTTTTTGCCCACAGAACACTTACACTTTTTATATCGCCTCGCGGAACACCAAAAAATGAAAGGGTGAAATTGAAAAAAGAAAAGATGTAGTGTACCGGTTCCCAATGAATTCGCCACGAAAACTAACAGTATTGTGTTAAACATACCTACAATATGATTGCATATTTTAGATATTGCATTTAATATGAATGTTTTATTGTTTCTTATGCTGTGTATATAAATCAATAAATTCATTTTACCTTTCTATGTCTATTTCTTTCCATTACGTAGTGTTTGCCTCTAATGTTACGTCGAATGGAGCTAGAAGCCCTTGCTGCAATTTCGCTAGCTGCAGACCTGTAGTTTTTGTTATCTGCTGAAGCGAGTTTAGCGAACATTTTAGCATTTCAAAGTAAAACCAGGCAGAGATGGAGGAAGAAGCGTTGACCTTTTGACCTTACTCTTTAGACCTACTTGTTTGCCCATAGCAAATGGATTGCTGTAAACTTGATAATGAACTTCACAGTCAAAAAGCTAGGCCGACAGTTAATGAAAATGACACTACCCTACCCTAGTTAGTCCGACGGTGATGCGAAATCGAACGGTCAGTGGGGCACCAACTTCTCGATCGCTAGATCGTCGTGGCGATCAATGTAGATGTATTTTTGATTCCTTTTCCACCGAACGCTCGCGGAACACAGTTTGGGAAATGCTGCTTTAAGCTAACTAATGTTATGCGGTACCGCACCCCCCGAGAGTACGGTAATCCGCGCTTCCTCATATCATTAAGTTGTGTTGTCGGTTTTCCCTTCTTCCCCCGGAATAAGTACCTGTATGTAAATTCTATCCTAGGATGACATTACTGTTTGGTTATAGTGCAATTCCAGCTGTTTTGGTCTTTTATTCCGGGGTTTACTACGGAATTAGCTATTGTAAGTGCTGCTCAAGTGTTATACGTCTAGAAAATTGTTTGTATTTTAAAATGCCCGTATTGAGTTATTTTCAGCCTTTTTTGTGAATTATCAGTTAAATAATTTAAAATTGCCCTTTAATGTTGGATGTCGTACTTGATTTTAGAGTTTGTCTCTATACTTGAGGTCTTATTTCGGTGACCGTACATTTGAACCCATGCGTATATCCACGGGTTCAATCTATATGCGGGTGCTAAAACCCATGGGTTAGGGTTAGTATGGGTTTAACTATCCGTGAAACAAAAAAAATTCCATAGGTGCAATAGCATACAGGTGCAATTGTCATGGGTTCAAATGTACGTGGGTTCAAATGTAATGGAACCCTTATTTCATATACACTATGTTATTTTCATTGTTAATTTTCCGTTCTACTGATTTCACTTGAGTATTTGGTTGTATTAAGATTGTTAAGTCATAAATAGGATCAAAATAACACTAATTATTGAAGCGAATATTGAGAAGAAGATTGGCATCAGAGCATATTAAAAGATATTTCAAACTGTGAAATTTCATACGTAGACTGGTGGTACGCTAATCTCGTTTCATGGCGATGGTCAATGGTGCAAAATGCAAATATTAATATTCAGCAATTCTAAATTATGGAAAGTTCTATAGAAATGGTGAGAACCACCGAAGACGTATTTCCTTGCCTCATCTGTAATGAAAAATACTCATCAGGGCCAAGTTTGGAAAAGCACATTTTTTCGCACATACATGTTGAAAATTATTTCAGACCAGGAGATGTGAATGATTATCCAACTATCAACATTGTGGAAACAAGTCAGCCTACCGGCTCTAATGAACATTGTGGAAAAGGTATTACAAATATAACTTCTTTACAAAGAGCTGGCAAATGGAAAATCGATGTTCATGCACAATGCAGAGAAAGTTGGTTGATTGATAAAACTGACCCAGCACGTAATAGCGAGCATCTCAACATAACCACTGTACCAGACTGGAAGTTACAAACCAAGTCACTCGTTCATATCAACAGTGTAGACGAACCATATATTTGCAAACAATGTGGGAAGGAACTGAAAACAAAGAAAAGTTTGAATAGACATATGAGAATTCATACCGGGGAAAAACCTTATATTTGTGAACTTTGTGGAACAGGTTTTTTGCATTTATCTCATTTACTTAGTCATGAGCGAACTCATGATAGAAAGAAACCTTATGTTTGTAAACAATGTGGAAGAGGTTTTTCCCAATCATCTAGTTTACATAGACACGAGCGAACACATACTGGAGAGAAACCTTATGTTTGTGAACAATGTGAAAAATGTTTTTCTCAATCATCTAATTTACATAGACACGAGCGAACCCATACTGGAGAGTAACCAATGTGGCAATGTTTTTTCACATTCATCTAGTTTACGAGTTCATAAAAGCTTGCATTCTGGAGAGTAACCATATGTTTGTAAAGAATGTGGAAATGGTTTTCCGCAATTATGTAATTTACGTATCATGATCAAACTCATATCGGAAAGTAGCCCCTTGTGTGCGAATAATGACGGATGGGATTTTTAAATTCACACTGGAGAATACCAAATGTGGTGAAAACTGCATAACGAAGCCCAATGAAAGCATAGGATAAGCGATTTACCATTCAATTTCACATTTAAGAATTGCTTTGAACTTTGAAGAAAAAAACTTCTAGGAAGACACTCAATGGTCCTTATACATGTGATCTATTTGAAACAGTATTCCCTAATTCATGCACACTGGAGGTTATATTTGTAAGCAATGTGATGCAAATGGAATAATAATCAACTTCTGTTCTTTGTAAATAATGACTGTTAACAAATCAGTAGTTGACAGGACATGAAATTTGAATAGTTTCTCTAATCAAAATTTGGCAAATTTTTTTTGTGCTTCTTGGAACACCTGGAAGTGTAATTTCCACGTTTTGTTTGAATTGATAAATCCCTCAAGTGACAGATTTTGTCATGCCGCCCAGAAGAATACCTCTTAGGCACTATCAGTCATATATTTGTTTATGACAATGATTCGAAACTTATATAAAAGATGACAGTTTTTTATTGCCACGAAAGTATTAATGCTTTTTTGACGACTCATATTCTTAGATTTGCAACACCATTATTTTATCTTTTTGTCAGATTTCGTATTTCAATGTTCGAGACACTGGTGGCGCTGTTACACTGTCAATCTGTCCTTTGGTATCCAGTTAGAATAGGCTACCAGTTGCAGCAAAGCAGCTGTGGTTGTTTTAGTTAGATTTCTAGTGTTTTAGAGTAATTTATGAACGTAAACTTGATGCAAGTTCTCAAGTAGAACACAAAGGGTGTTTATTTCTGATTTTATGGTCATTATGATAGGCTCAGATATTTTGTCAGTAAGAGCGACTCTGCGTTGAGGCTCGTCGTTCTAAGCATGTGTTTGCAGGTTTGTATTCATGTAGAGATAGTTATGTACAAGAAGATAGCTGGACTACTCGCTGCCGTTGGGTGGTTTTATTGGTTGGTTACGGCCTCCTCCGCTATAAAACAATTATCTGGCTAACTAATGCAGTAATGGCATTTCGATACCCAAGATCGGTCTGTGGCATAAGTCGTGTTATCAGCTTTTCTCTCCCCCCCGGGATAAATATGTGAATCCAATCCCACGATGACATTACTGTTTGGGTACCGGTAGGGGTGCCACTTTTGGATTTACGAATCTGATCGATTCGATTCGGAAAAAGAGATCGAAATAACGGAAAAAAACATCGTATGTTCGTTAATCGTTGTTTTCGGTGGCACTAAATCTGCTGAATGCGGTTATGCAGCACTCCAAATAACACCATATTACGAGACGGAAATGAAAATTGATTGACTTTTTTACTGATCTGCCGTCATTTGTTTCAAGTTCAGCACAACACACTCTTTTATGTATTACTCGAGATGATGTGTGACGGTATCGTTAAAGGTATTGTAGACCAGGGCTACTCAACTATTTTTATAGAAGATCCGCATACAGAACTTTAAAATTATTTGGGTTCATCCTTTCTATAAATTATGTTTCGGCATCCTTGAACGCTATCTTCCTCAACCGGCCGATGATTATCAGCTAATCAAGATTGTTTATTATGGTGTTATAGTTTATTTCCTATATATTCATATAAAGTATCTATCTATTCAAAAGTAGGAAAGTCATTTTATAAAAACGAAACTTCAAAAGTGGAGATAATGATCCAAGAGAAAGAATTAGGTGCGGTCCGAATCAAATACTCGAAAGTTCCAGATTCGGACCGCGGTCCGCCAGTTGAGAAGCCCCGGTGTAAACTAGAGATGTATCGGTATCGGCGATATCGGCCATTTTTTCGGTATCGGCCATGTATCGGTTAGATTAAGGCCGATATTACCGATATATTTACCTTTTTGATATGGTCCAGAATGTTTTGAAAGATAAGTTGGAATACTACTTTTTAATTTATTTTTGTCTGAAGAGATCGTGAGCTATGAGCCATACATGTCCCCACCCCTGCGAGAGAATAGGATTCACGTGTTTTTAGCTATTTATCAGCTAAACTAGCTCACCTAATTTGGCTATTTTCGATGTCAAATTTTTATATTGACATTTTTAATATTACATAGTTTTTATGAAGAAATATATCAACACAGCACATAACAAAAAGCAACTAGGCGCCCAGTTTTAAATCATACAGTGGAATTGGGGTCCCTATTAACGGCACATGGACTTTTGGCACGGATATAAATTCCGACTGCTTGTCGTCAAGTACAAGTGTCATTTAGTCTGTCGACATCGATAAACTAAATTACGACACAATTATCCGACTACACAGGTATTAAGTTTAATTCTGCTTAACTACACGATTTCTTTATAGATATATTGACTTGACCGCCTAGCCCTAGACTGTCTCAAAATATATGATAGCAATTGTAAAATGTTATAAAATAGTGAAGTAAAAAAACATCCTCAATGGTTATCGGTGGGCCTTCTTTTTGTCGGTGCTGATTGATATTCTTTCATGTTGGCTTTGACTTATTGCGTCGACGATTACGATTAGCCACTAAATTAAATAAAATGCTTTTAATTTGAACGTAGGACGGCGGCGCTAGAATGTGTGGGTGATATTCGATATTCTTTTAAACACGAATAACGATATTCGAAGTTCGCGATATTAACATTAAATTCAAATTGGACATCCCGGCTTATGAGTTTTCTAATTGAACACCGAGATTACTAGCGTTACTGTACAATGTATCTTAATCAGTTACAGCATATGGATACCAAACATTAATTTCATATTATGTGATATATATATCTTTTTTTTCGATCTGAAATAATGTGTACTATGAACAACGCTTAAAGACCATTGTTTTAACCCGTCTGCCCTACACAGCATACCTAATTAAGTAATAACTACATAGTATCGGTATCGGTAATATCGGCCTTTTTGTAGTATCGGTATCGGCGTTTTTAGCTGGGATCGGTATCGGCGACAAAAGTGGTATCGGTACATCTCTAGTGTAAACCACGCTTTGTTCTACATGTCCATATACTGATCATTGCTCTCTTGTTCTTGTTTGTTTGACAATTATATGAGAACTGGCAACGACAATATATTAATGTAACCTCATCCAGTGTTCGTCTTTGGAAACCCTGCATAGAAGATTAAAAAGTAATAAATATTTGGGCTCTGTAGATTTATCACACAAAGTGATAGTTGATGCGAAAAAAAAATTTACAAAAGAAATATGCAATCGTTTCTGCGACAGTAAACTGAAACTGGTTATCTAGGGGTTTACAAGCGATTTGAATATTAGAAATTTAACACGGATGAATACACTGATTAAATTGTTGTAAATAATACACAAAGCTGGATAATTTTACCGAATTAGGCGAATTTCAGATTTATCTGCATCAAACTCTTTGTGTTATAAGCCTACCCCGAATCTACAGCAATTTAAAAACATGACTGAAACTTGAATTATACGACAAACACGAATTGTGGTCTGAAAATTAAATGTAACAGATTTAAAATATTTAGAGTTGAATTTCTCAAAATATTGTGTAAAAAAAGTTCTTTAAATTAGTGGTCCTTTTTAAAATATGTATACATGTTTGATCTCTCCATTTAACGCGTGTGGCGAGATATTCTTTCAATAATTAGTTTGAAGCCTTAGCTAATAGTCTAAACCAGTGGTCGGCAACCTTTTCAAGTGACGGACCGGTAAAGCTTGACCAAACTTTTGGAGGACCACCTTTATACAAACGAACCAAGCCTATGCAATAAATTATACACATTAGGAAATTTACGTTGACAATATACTAAAAATGACAGTGATGCTATTTGAAGTGATGTCTGTATTTGTTTGATGGCCATTAACTGTTCCCATATTCGAGATATGGTCGACATTGACACACGTAACGTGTTTCTTACTTCCAGCCTATTTTGTTTTTGTAGTTATCAATATTGAAAACCAGGCACCACATTAAGATGTCGGGAAAGTTAACAATGCCTGTATCGTTTTGTTGGAGAGATCTAAGTCGGACTGATGAGAGACATTTTTATAGGGGCGTAGACAAAACAATTGACCCAGCATTATTGCACATACTGACATGGCAATTGTTTATGAAATCAGACTTGTTGCTCAATAGTGTTATGCAGTGGTCGGCAAACTTCATGTACTTGCGGGCCGAATATAAACATTTCTGATAGCGCGCGGGCCGCAATATTTCCACCTTCGAACAATCGCTACCATAATTAAACTTCAAATTATGGCGCATTCGCATTGCTACCCTTCTATTGCTGTGTTGAAAGCCTGTCCCAATGAGATGTATATGTGGCTTTATTTTTTTATTATCCAACAATACATTGTTTTTATGTACTTATTATCAATGTGAAAGATGATGTTTTTGTCCAAATGATGATCTGACAAACGAGTACAAAATTTGATCTAAGTGTAATGCATTTTAGTTAAAGCTGCTCAAGACCATATGTTCTTCCGAACGTGCACAACAGTAACCTTTCCGCGGACCGGCGATGGGCCGCGGCCCGGTGGTTGCCGACCACTGCCCTAAATTATTTGCAACTTTGTGAAAAGTTACAATAGTAGCTTATCATATATTATCGGAATGCCAACAAACCACACGTTTAACTTTTCTGTTCCTGAGAGATTTCACAGCTTTGTACCAATCGTTGATGCTTGCGGGATATCGGCTGTACTGAAAGAAGTGTTACAGCCTTACAACGCGAAGTCAAAATTGATAGCTCAAACTTATGACGGCGCGGCAGTCATGAGTGGGTCGAAACATGGTGTTCAAGTTTATATAAAAGAAGATTTTCCTCATGCGCATTTTTTACATTGTTATGCACACCAATTTAACCTCGTTATTAAAAATATGTGTCTTGATACCCCTCTCGTCCGTATATTTTTTGCACATGTTTCGGGGTTTTCTTCATTTTTTTCCGTTTCGCCGAAGCGCTCTGACCTCCTTCGCCAGATATGTAGCCGCCGTCTCCCAGCTTGTGCACCAACACGTTGGAACTTTCAATCACGCGTGGTTCAGGGCGTGTCCGAAATTAGGTCTGAGCTCATTGAGTGTTTCAATGGCATTCAGAGCTCTCCGGTTTGGGACGAACGCTCTGTGAGGGAGGCGGCAGGTCTAAAGCGTCTGCTAGAAGATGGTGAGTTTTCCTTTTTTCTCCACAATATTCTATCACGTGGATGTATTATACGGCGCATTGCAGTCAAGGCTAATGGATGGAGCGTCTGTGCAGTCGTGTATTTCAGACTTCTGCGATACTGTATCTCGTATCCGGGAAACAATAAAATACGACGACACATGGAGTGCTTCTTTACGCCACGGGCAAACAACGCAGCTTTTGATTTTGTCTGCAAAGGAATGCTGTGACATTCTGGTGAATCAAATAGGCGATCGTCTGCGCACTGAACACCTTGCCGCGTTCTCTTTGATGAACCCCAAAAATTTTTCAAAATTTGCACGTCAATTTCCCATCCATTTGTTGGCTACTGTCTCCAAATTTTACCCCATGATAAACGTGGGTAAATTGGAAAATGAATTGCGATGTATATACACCAATCAAACTTTTTTGAACATCTCATCAACTTGCGCGCTCTATGGGTTCCTCATAGATAACACTCTAGTAACAACCTTTGCGGCGTCTGCAAAATTTCTGGACATCATTTTGACGACGCCTATT